GCACAATTGTCATTTAGCATTATTATGAAGTGAAGTTCTTGTTTTATTTATCTTTGACATAACATAACAGGCTAAATGCCGGCCGGGCGGCGGCCATACTTAAATTGAGATGTCCACGCGGTGGTATGGTAACGTGAACTCCACAGTTGCCGGAAACTTACGGTTCAAACAGGCGTCATAACTTGATAAATTGCCCTGAATAGGGAAAGGGACTGGACAGATGCATCGACAGTTCTCTAAATTTCGGTTAGCCTCAGCTGTGAAAATAAAATAGCAGAAAAAGAATAAATTTTACCCTGAAGAATTCATCAATAATTTTGATTCTGCTGCATTTTTTACATCACAACCATCGTTATCATCGTCATCAATATAATCATTACATCACTGTCTTTAAAGCAATACACCACCATCATCGTCGTTGTATTTTTGTGTATGAACACTGTATTATTTATTTCGATGTGAGTTTGCGTCAATAAAAAAAAATTGAACTTTCCTCTCTTCCCAGATGTGTATAAGAGACAGATATATATACAGATAGATAGATAGACTAAATTATATAGACATGAATAATATAATGAATAATATATATATATACACAATATACGTTCAAGGTATCCTTACTCCATACTAGCCACTAGCTTGGAATTCTTTATCACCCTGCTATACTAAGCATGTCAAAGCCCGTTTTACTAACTAGCAAATACCACTAACTTACTTCAAATCCCTGTTTTAAAACTTATTCCCACCTCAACCATTCATCTCCTTTAGTAGAGTGGATTGTTACATTATTATGGGTAGGGGTGGCTGGTCTCAATCATTTTTTTTTATTTTGTTACAATATTATACCGGTGACGTGTGTAGTTAGATTTAATATAAAACTGTCACCTTCAGTAACTCCGTTGCTTGCGCCTCAGAAATACTTATATACCCGTCCCTCACTGATGAGAAGTCAGGTACTCCACTAAAAACCCTATTGAATACCGCTTCGTTACCGTCCGCATCCAACTGAAATCGGTAGCCTACTACCTGACCCAGTAATGGATCAGTTGTGGCACTAGGAATAAATGTTTCATGCGGCTTTACGTACTCCACAACCGCGTCCAATTCTCCATCAGCAAGTCCTCCATTGCCTAAAAATATTTAAAAGCAATGTACTAACTGTAACGCATGCAGGAGGAAAATGACAAAGTATAGTAATTGTAAGGTTAAAAAAATGTTTATTTTATCATGTTGCCTCTAAAAACGCCTTTTAAAAAGACTCATACACGTGCCATGGACATACACCTAAGCCCCGCCACTTGGATATATCGTTGCTAAGGTACCAGAAAACGGCTGCGTACTGTTAAGTAACCACGTTTGTTATGTGTGTGTGAGGGACGTGCGCTTGTTCCTAGCCCTGTTGTGATTAGTAAGTAATTGATAAGCACTTCGGAAATGTAGGCAATAATTTCGGTTCACATTAAAACATCAATTTTTAAAACATCGATAAAAAGCAAATTTTTTGGATTTGTTGGGCTCTCATCTCATGGTGTCACAATATTATAACCGAGTCTGTAGAGAATAGATCTACGACTGCGGTATTGTGCGTGTATGAATTATTGTGATTTTCAATATAGCCAGGTCAAAGAAGCAAAATAAGGGAATGTTTAATTTGCAGACAGTGGTATATATAATTGGGTGACAAAGCACACTCCTTAACAGATAGTAGCTGACACGTTTTAATAATATTTATAAAACCAACCTAGCAAATATATAGCCTGTTGCTTCCTTATTTGTTCATGGTGTTTAAAGCGATTGAAATCAAATGCAGATGGAAAAATGTTGAGCGGAACCTTAAACGTAATTTTGGGACCACTTTTGTTTTTGGTTTTCATTAATGATATCTATACAGCCAGCAAAAAATATTTAGCTGACGAGGCAACTGCCTTTTTGTAATGGTAAAAACATTAATAGTATTACTGAAATTATGCAAGTTTATAGTTCAATTATTATTATCAAATCTGTCATCGTCATGCTGCTTCGCTTTACCTACCTGTCTGTCCATAACACAAAACAATACCAATCAACAGCAAACATAAAAACTCCCGTTTGAAACAGCGATTAACACCTGTTGGCCACATCTTGTTTTAAAGCATTGACTTCCTGTTGTCTGTGATCGCGTTGTTGAAAATAATGACTGATCTTACCTGGTATAATAAATTTGTCAGTTTAATGACGTGTTATGCGAGAATGTTGGTTGGATTGTGAGAACAATAAGTTAAATATTTGATCATGCAAAATATAATTTGTGGAAATTCCACATTTTAAATTTTGACTATGCAAAATCATTCACTCAGTCATTCTTTCATTATATTGTTCTTCAAAATTATCGATTGAGTAGTGCAAGTGTTCAGTGCTCGTGAATTTTAACAAAAGGAACAATGTCCTTTGTAAATATTGTGATATGCCAATTCGTCGTTTTATGGCTATAGTTACACTGGGTCCGGGTCCATGGCGGCATTAGTGAAACTAGGGGAGTAAAGTGATATTTTTGAGTTAAACTGAACTTTCCTCTCTTCCCTTGATATTATAAACTTGTCTTTCTTAAGCATATTTGTGTTATATGTATTGAATAACGTTTTGTTATGAAATAATATATTTAGTATATAATTAATAATTAAAATTAGTTTTCGTTTTTTCAGGTATAGGCCTATGTAGTATTATAATTATTTGTCTGTAGGCTTAGTATTCTAACATTGTAGGCCTATTATGTTTTGTTAGATAAATAAATAAGTTGATGATAAACGTGTGGTGATTTAGGTTCAGTATTTTCAGTTTTTTTTTTGTTGACCAAAAATAAAGTACAAATGATTGTAGCCTACAATACTATACCTTGTTAAAGATTAGTTTAATAAACCAATAACCTAACCTATCCTATATAATCAATAATTATAGCCTTCTAAAACCTAATATTATTGAACGGTCCTTCTAAAGTTTAAATATGATTTTTTTTAAAGTTATATTTTTAGATCATAGACCTATTGAACGGGCCCCCAATAACCCCGGGGCCCAGTGCTGTGCACTGGCTGCACTGCCCGTACCTACGCCACTGGACCTGAGTATGTGTTCCATATGTGCCTGACCCAATGACCGGGTGTAATAATGCTAAGCGCATAGAGGTCTCTACAATATGCGATATATAACTCGACAATTATCGTTATTATTAGTTGTAGTGTGGTTACGTAACATTTGTTATGCACTGTATTATGCGCTATACACGTGGAAGACCATAATGTATTGAGAATATACCTCTCTGGTAGGGCTTACAATACAATTAGTGTAAAAGTGTAAGATAGGATAGTGTGGATTAAAAATTCTCCTAATGGTAATGTTCCGAATAAATGTCTTTGTGTCTAAATAAGTATATATGATTGTTTGGAAAAAATGGTCAACATTTTATTCTGATTTTTCACCCTGACATTCGCCTGGGCGAACTGGGCGAAGGTCTGAATCCGCACCTGTAGGGTGTGAATATGAGGACCATTTAAAGGAAAACGTCCCAGACCAGATATTTAAAAAACGGGTCAACTGATCCGAATAAACTTTCGGGAAAGTTTAACCAAAGTTACAAGGAAGATATTATTATGTGTAGGGGACGATCCAGGTTAGGGTGTAAATTTGAGTGTCATTTAAATTCCTTACGTCCCAGTTATAGATGGATAAAAATAACACTTTGCAGAATAGTTTTTAATGGTGAAATGAAGAAATGATCCAATTTTTGTGACAATCCGCAGTAGATGTGGATATGAGGATCATTTAAAGATTTTGTTTTTTCACAATTGATTAACTTATTTAGACGCAATTTGCGTTTTCTAAAGCGTTTAAACCCGTTACAGCTAGGCTAAACTCAAAACTACCGTGATATGCATGAACAATCTTTGCTTTCAATCATTGAATCGCTATGAACTGAAAATGCACTTTCCTATGCAAGGTCGGCCCATATAGCGTGCGCGCAATGGTTATGGGTCACGATGTACCTGGCTATTACCATTGCAGTCACAGTTTAAGTCTCACTAATAACGTCGCAGTGAACTTGGTTTTCGTTTTTTTTTTCCACTTTCCATTAAAATGATATTTGTTTCCCGTGTTTTGTTTTTTTTACTTTATACCTTTTAACGACTTTTCTTCTTGTTGCAATTTCAACTTCATTTCTCATTAAAGCAACGGGGGAAAGTCTTATGTTCTGTTGTTCAAACAGACATAGTAAGTCTAGTTATTGTTATTGTTATTGTTATTATTATTATTATTATTATTATTGTTATTATTATTATCATTATTATTAAAATTATTATTATTATTATTATTATTATAAGAGGACACTTTTTTCGGGCACAGAACGAGAGATCTAGAATGGATTCTACTGTATTTGAAGTGTTATAGCTTTATTATCGTTTCTTGGTACTTGGTACTTTTATAGAGTTTATTCCTTGTGGTTACAAACTACCCACCACTTTAATTAATATTTCCATCAAGTACAGCCGACCCCAACCAAGTGGTGGCGCCAGGATTTGCCCGACGGGAACCGAGGTCCCCGACGAGGGGTCAGATTTGCCCAACGAAAGCAATGTGGGCGTAGTCGAGCTTCGATAAAAAAAAAAAAAGTGGTCCAGGGGGCGAAGCCCCCGAAAAGTATAACAACTTAGGGGTTTCAAAGGCTTATTTAATCGATTTTAGAGTCTACTAATATGTAGAAAATACATATAATTTTTTTTTCTCCCCGACGAATTGTGCTTTTTCTCCCCGACGGGGGTGGGGGCAGCACTCCCCGACGGGGGCTGTGGCCCCGGCCCCCCGCTGGCGCCACTCCTGCCCCAACCCAACCAACCAAATAAGCCTATGCTTTCAAAGTAAATCAATTGTAATAAAGGATAAAAAGAGCTGGACATTTCTTAGTCGAGCCGCTATAGATGGGAATCAATTAACAATTAAGTACAGTACTGTAGTTGCTTTGTTTTACCTACCTGTCTGTCCATAACAAGAACGGAAGCCCATAACCAACACAAATAATAAAAACTCCTGTTTGAAATAGCGACGGACACCTGTTGGCCACATTTTGTTTATAAAGGCACTGCCCCCGTTCTCTTCTGATCGCGTTGGGTGGAATACCACTAACATATACCTGGTGTATTTAGTCGAATGATTTCAACAATAACGCTTGATTGGGAAGTTACACCCGGAAATAAAATGTTTCTATAGGCCTCTTTTAATTCAAATATGTTTTATGCGTGTCATTCTTGCAGTGTGCATGCACAGAATTGACACAATAGGCCTGTTGACAATAAAGTATTATAAAAGAACTGTAAAACATACATATAGCAAATACAACGTCCAACTGTGAAATAGACATAAGCTAAACCGCAACAGGCAAAATTGAAATTATAACAGTTGATTACAAAAATCAATAAAATTGAGATAAACAGGGAGATTAAAAGATTTTATCTAAATATCTAAGTCCTTTCCGAGCCACTGGGGCTCACTATAGGGCTGGAGCTTATCCCCAGTTTCTGTAGTGTGAAGCGGATGAGAGTTGTACTCCCCTGAATAGGACACTAGTCCATCGCAGGTTAGTCCCCAGCAGTTTGCTGGTACCCATTGATACAGTTGGGTGGACTGAAGCAATGTAGCTAAAGTGCCTTGCATAAGGACACAAGCGAATCTGCACAGTCGAAACCCCGACCTTACGATTGAGAGCCCAAACCTCAACCGCTGCGCCAAACTTCCGCTACTATCTAAATATAGATGTATAAAATTATACATATAATAATAATAATAATTATTATAATTATATATATTAATACAGTCATCAATTAAATACATTATTTACAAGAAACATTAAAATTAACATATACAAAATTGTTATGGAAACATCTCCTCGTCTCAAGCTAACACTACTTTTAAAGAGCTTGCTATTTCCATTAAAAACAATTATTTACCATTCAACATTCTACATATTGTACAGGTGTGTATATGTATGGCCCTATATTATGAATATATATATATATACATACATACATACGAAACCTTTCAGACTTAAGGTACATTTACACTAGACACGATTACGATACGACAACGACACAATACAGATGAAGAATACAAACTACGCGATAATATGAAATGTTTATTATGTTTATGTTTTTTTTAATCTTTGTTGTAGTTTAATGGCATTTTTCGACTTTAATTTAATTGTTTTCATATTTTTTCTCGTTCTCAACTGTCAGCATTTTCACAAACGTACAAGCATACTGTTCCCTGTTACACCCTCCCTTGATATGGATATTGCAAAACAACTAACTATAGTAAATTATTATATTTGATCACCTGAACATAAGCTAATGCACATTATATCCATGATTGCATTATAATGTGTAAGTTCATGCATATGTAAAAGCGTATAAATAGACCTTTCCGGAGTGTCAATCAAACTTAACAACTGACCAATCAGAACAGCGCTATGAATACGCGCGCGTCTTACAAACACACGTGTTGTCCCACAAACGCACGTGTTCGCGTATGTTTTAACACTGCCGACTTGTGAGACCTTAGCAACAATATCCAAGGGGCGGAGCTTAGCGGAAAGGTCCATTGGTCTACTCCCACCCCCAGCATAATGTTTGTGCACTTGTGAAAGTGCTGATATTTGGGAGCGACCCCTTACAATTATACAGACAGTATACTGTATAATTTGTATATTCGTTCAGGAGTATGCCTGTATAAAGGTTACTCCATACCTTTAATTTTCAATGGTATAATTTTTTTAATTTGTAGTCTTATTTTGTATGTACAGTATTTTCCGTGTTTATTTGCATATTTTATCAATGATTGTGTTGAAGTGTGCTCCTTCTTTAGTTAATTTTTATATTTTTGTAATTTAAGCTGAACGCACCACTCTTGTGTGTGCCGCCGTTCCAAAGGCGAATGTTCTCAAAATAAATAAATAAATATGTCGTTGTTGCGTCGTTATCGTGTCTAGTGCAAATCTACCTTTACAGAAGCACTCATCAAATTTACTGGCGTTTCTTAGTGCCCTTTCACATACTCCACCCGTTATATTTAGTAATGCATTTCATTTAAATTCGTACTATATTGAAGTACCGTAACAGTCTCATTTTGCTAACAGAATTTGGCTATAGAATCCACAAACTGCATGAAATCACATTCTTACGAAAAACCCATACTACCACTGCTAGCGTGTGTCGCGGTAACTATGCAGCCATTTTGTTTGTCGAATATTTACCAGTTTTATATTCGTCTGTTTGTCTTCGTTAATAATGATTTTACCACTGTGCAGGCAGGCGTGGTTTAACGAAGAACGACCAATCAAATACTGCCAAACTTGCGTAAATTGTCGTAATTATTGGGAAAAGATTGGCGCCGTGTACGTCGGGATTGTATTTCTATTATCTTCGACAACTTCGACTATAACTAAACTATGAATTTGGAGATGCAAAAATCGGAGTGTCTATATCTGACACAAATATTCGAAAAACTGTGTTATTATACACAAATAATTATTTCTGGAAAAATAGAAAAAGCTTTTAAAAGCAGCTATGGATGTTATATCATAATGTAAATGGAATATAATATTCCAGAGCGGGGCAGCAACAGAAGAAGTTTGAGTACCATAGTTATTGCGAAATCTTTCCGTTCTAACAGTTATTTTCAACCCTTATACAGAAAATCTACTTCCTTACGAATTTGGGCAACAGTGAATTGTTAAATATGTTAGCTTGTCTTTATGCTTACTGCATTAAAACCGAGCTGTTGTTACATACTTCCTCTCTCATTCAGTAGAATTTTCGAGCAGAGAATTAGATGGAAAACTTAGATTCACCTAGCTAATCATGAAAGTTACTATGCACCTTGTATTTAAATCTTGGACCCTCATTTGTGTAACAGGGGAGGAGGGGGTGCGTACGATTGATGCAAACTCAACACTCCCCTCCACCTTGGGAAGTTCGAGAATTAACTAAGCATCAAATTTGCTATTTTTTGTAATAAAGATTATTTTCTTTAAGCCAGTATATTGTGTATGGTTGACTTTATTTTCTCCGATCTCAAAATGATGAAAAAAAAAAGTACAAATAGGGCCTATATTTTTTCGAAAGAAATATTTATTTGAAATTTAAAAAAAATAAATGCAAGTAATATATAATGTATCAAATATATTGACCTATGCATCAAAATATTGTCTACTAAAGTTACTATTATTTTCCATTGAAACATGTAGCCCTATCTCTTTAATACTGTCATCACTGTCGTGTATTTGCCGCACCTAAACCAATTTAATTTTTTTTAAAGGCCATCTCAGACAGTGCTGTACGATGCAGAACGACGCAATTTATCACCGGGGATCACAGTCTTTATTCTAGGCACCTGTCCCCGACGCAGTCCAATCGCGTCTGCCTTTAAAGCCACTCACTCACTGCGTCGTGCGACGGTTGTACGACCGTCGTACGACGAATCCAACTCTACTTCCTGTGAACGAAAGACGATATGACGCCGTCTGCCGATTGTCGGTGACAGTCTGAATTGGTCTGAAAAGATCGTCATAAAAAAAACATTGCGCGCGCGTAGTCACGTTGCGTTCTTCATAGAATCGCGTCGGCCGACGACCGTCGGGCGCAGTGGGTGCCCGACTTTACTCACAAGAGGGACTTTTCGCAAGCAAAATAACGAATTTTCGCAAACGATAACGAATACGTCATAGCAGTTTTGACAACCTTTTCCCTACAGTATTATATCTGTCACAACGTCGATTAATGCCTTTTGTATGAATCAAGCGATGATAATTTGCATTGGGCTGCATAGTACAACTGTCTGATTTGGCTCTAATAAACATGCAATTAGTACTGTGTTCGTAGGCCTATATAGTAGGACTAAACATTTTCTATAACAAGTTCAAGGTACACTTAATCTATAGTCCTCCGTCAGGCTTTCCCCAGGAGGTACAATTTTTTATATAAAAATCAGTAAAATTTGGCCCAGGCTCATTGTTCTTATTTTTATTTATTTATTTATTTTTTTGCCAATTTTAGACACAAAATTGCTTTTATTTTTCTTATTTTAAACACTTTTCAAAGACAGAAAACTATTATTGCAAAGCAGTATATTACTTTACTGAATTATTGCGGATATTAGGTAGTTATGCACCTTCTGTACATAAGGTACAGATACACCCTTCTGTACATAAGGTGCAGATACAATTTGTTAGTTATTTAAGTTTTTAAAATAGAAACAGAAACTTCATATTACATTTTAACTCAGGCTCAATTCTTTCTTATTTTGTTAAGCAATTTCAGCCTGACTGTTCTTACAAAATGTGTTCTTATAAAACAAAAGTGTAAGTACTCTTCATACTTCTCCATCCATATTTTATTTTATTTATTTATTTATTTTTTGGTTGTCATAGTCGTCAATATTAAATACTTGCAGCATTATTATTATTAATTTTTTTGTGTTTTTCCTGATCACCTTTCTTAATCACTTTCGTCCTTTGAAAAAGCATTCTAGGAAGGAAATTCTAGCCTCTCTGGCAATCTCGTCCATTGAAAGGTCCAGCAAGACAACAGCAAAAAAAAACAAAAAACGTATGTAAACTTGTTTGTAGGGCATTCACATAACTTCTGACTATTTTTTTATTAATAACATGTGATTGGTCAGCTGTAATAGTTACCATGGCATTATACCGCATTCTGTTTGAATACCAACGCTTTCATTGGTGGGGTTCATCACCATTTTTCAATCTATATTTTACAACAGACACCTTGAAAATTGTTTTCATCGTTACTGGTAATTTGTCATCGTTAATTATTGGTGATAATACACAGGACTGAAACAAAAAAATACATCATTAATAAGAAGACTAACTAAAATAATAACGAAAAACATATTTACATACAAATTGACAGCATTACATAATAATATAGGTCTGTTAAACTCAGAAAATTTGGGAAAATTACTTTTAAAAATTCAATTAAAAAGTTCTGTATTTAGATGTTGAGAAAAAAGTTCCCTTAACACCAATTGATGCCAATATGGGTAACTGCATTAATGCAACATAAGAAATGTAGATTAAAGTGCTATATAATTATGTATTAGGCATATTTCTCATTGTAATTAAATATGATAAAATAGTTTCATCTGGTTTTGTAACTGATAATCCAAATATTTTTACATACAACAAAACGTCCAGCTCATTCTGCCGGACGAAGTCTTGTTGACAACAAGACGGAAGCTAGCGTAAGTACATAAAAAAATGGTTTACTATGTAAAAATATTTGAATTGTAATTAAATAGTTCTGTACATACAAGAATAATTTGCTGTAAAATTATGTATATATTATTTAGGCTGCCTATTTCTCACAAGGTTACAACAACAATTAATTATAAAAATGAAAATTTCATTTAATAGGATTTTTCTTTACTGCTTAAATAGTAGGCAATTGATTAAAAACAAACGTACTTAACGAATGCACTATCCTTTAGATCCCCTCTGCCTTCCGGCCTATGCAAAGCACCATCTGGCCTGTTTTGGAAGTAAAAGAAATGACAAATATTACCGTACAGTTAAATATACTAGTATCGGATAAAAGTTTCATTATCTCTTACAACATATTGTAAAAAATGAACTTTTTCTTAATATAAATGCATTAATGGACAGTTAACAACATTTCAGTATATTTGTAAGAAGAAAACTCATGATGTATACCACTTGGCCTCCTAGCTCAATAATAATCGGAATGTCTTGGGTTCGAATTTTGATGGAAAGTGATTGCTATACCAGGAAACGATGTGCCGATAAGGAAAAAAGGTTTGGTTCTTGGTGAGATAAAACTGACTGGACCCTTAATTGTTGAATATGTAAATGTTAAACCTGTTTTCCACTAGACGAATTAATTTGCGCGAATCGAAAGCGTCGCTTAGTGGTGAAAAAATGGCTTTACTAGTTGACAGTATAAATAGGACAATGTTTGGCAGACGAACCTTCTCCTACAGCAGTAACAACATATCAGTTGTAGTATCACCAATACGCCTAATATGCCTATACCGATACCGATTGCAATGTAGATAACATAATTATCTGAAAAAATAGAAATATATATTTTTTGTTATGATTTGGCATGTGTTATTGGAATTTATAACGATTTTTCAATGGTTGAACATGCTTAAGTAATATTGGGGCAGTAGCAGTATTCTGAAAGAAAAAAAAAGCAGTAGGTATTTAATTGGAGTGATTGCAGTGGTTGCAATTTGGTCTATAAACCTTGGGGTCTGAGGTTCGAACTTCGCTGTAAATTTCACTTGAGTCTTTAGGCAAGGAAGTTTACCTACGTATGTATGCTCAGTCATGACGTAATGTCATCATCACAATATGTAGGCATGTCACATGGCATGTCAGTGTTTTAGGAAAAAATTACCGTTCTTCACACAAGATGACACACTACCCGACCAGAATCCCTCTTGCGTGCAATAAATAGTAGATTCTCCATTTGCAATGTTATAACCATCGTTACATTCGAAGACTAGAACACCGCCCTCTGTATACACCGAACCATCTTTAATGCCATTATCGGGAGTAGGTATAAAACCACACACCACAACTGTTGGAGAAATGTGGTAGACAAATGTCTTAGATAACTACTCTTAAAACTTCACAGAATGCTATCTTCACACGAAAAGTATAGAACTGCAAAAGGTCCGATTCCCTTGGTTTAGTTGGAACGTAATTTTATTACAAAAAGTACTGCTACGAAGGGGCGCGTCCTTGATTCGAGCAAAACTGTATTTGAATTCTAAAAGGGGAGCCCTCTATCTTGTGGCAGTACTTTTTTTAACAATCCTTTTCGCGCATACGAAATCAGGACAATCGGACTTCTTGCATTTGTATACTCTTTGTTATACGTTATATAGGCCAAATGCCTCATCAACATTCAGTGTGGTGAGAAAGAACTTGATTTTTTATTTTATAATTATGCAACGTACCTGGCTTAACACTGTCTAAAACTTCTTCAAAACTTTCGACTCCCTGTTTCGTCATTTTGGCGATCTCTACATTACCTGTAACCTGGTAATCAAATATACATTCTGAATTGTCTCCACAGACTTCAAACACTTTGACTGGGTCAATATTGTTTGGTAGTTCAAACCACGGTTGAAAATTTGGGTCCGAATATGTTTCATAAGCAGTGCCGGCACCATAATAGAACACCGAATCCCCTGCAGCAACTCTCCCTGCAATGCAATATTCAAGGAAAGAAATGAAACATATTCCAGGCATTCTGAGTCATAACCGGTCAGTTATTTAGGCCTACTTTATAAGATATTGCTAGTCAAATCAATAGATGAATAAAACATCTTCTTTGTTAAATAAGTCTACTCCTAGTTAATGCAAAAGTTAGTTTGGAGGTTGCATTATACTAAAATTTGAGACAGACCGCTCCTTGTACATTTTGTACCTGTCATATTTGTTTAAATGTTCACTTTTGTCCATGACATCGACTAGTCGCCCACGGGACATTTTTTTAAATATGGTAATGGTTTAATATATTTAATGTAGCAATATGGTATGCATGTTGCGGCTTACGTTGCTGAATAAAATTAAAATATGAAAACAAATTAAAATATTTTACATTTCTCGCCGAAATCATGGTGAATATCACGAATGCTTGAGTTCGACGGAAGATAGTCACCATCTGGTGTCTGAAGGTCATCCGTAAAATCGTTATTCCAGTTACCAAGCAGCCCACTGGTGTTATCGCGCATTACATGCGGACCGAGAACCTGAATGGACATGATATCATTGGCGGCTTCAACAGTGAAAACGAGTCCGAAGTCAAATGCGACGGTCACCGAGACACTTTTCACGTTCGTCCCCAAAGTGTAGACAATTGTAACACCTATTGGCAGAGAATAACACTGTTTATGTCAGACTTTAGGAAAATTTTCAAAAACTCCGTATAAGCGAATTCAAAGATACACTAATTTCATAACGAATATTTCAAGAAAATAATGTGAAACTAAGAATAATCAATACATTATCATAAAACAAAAATAATATACGGCATACATATGAAAATATGAAATTAAAAAGTAATACAAGAATAAATGATATAAGTAATTATTACCTGCATCATACCAAGTAGGTGTCAAATCAAATTTGATTTGAAACCATTTGTTGTCACGGTCGGTCACATGTACAGTAAGACCACGTATTTGGTTGAGGCTTACGTGTACTTTGGTCCCGTCGTTATACTGAGCCGCGATTGCGGTAAATCTTGTTGCATTGGGCATTGTTATGTTACCTATAGTACCGAAAGAGCACGGAATAAAGTTACATGGTACGGTATCAACAGCTAGAATAGAGGAAGGTGTCCGAGAAGCGTGTATGTCACTGTCAGTGGCGTATCAAGAGTCTTGATTGGGGTGGGGTTGGGGAAGGGGCGATTTTAAAATTATTGTTTGCTTTGAAAATTTCCAGTGGGGTTGGAGGCTGGGAAATCGCAGGACAACACTACCCTATGGGGTCGGTGAAATTCAATTGTTTTCTAGACGCCAGGAAATAACCACTGAGGCGTTTCAGACAATCAATATTTTTTTTTCTTCCCAAAATGGTGGGAGGGACCGGTCTGACCCCCTAAATCCGCCCTCGTAGTTTCTTGACACACATAACACTGTTTATGTGGCAATGTGCTATTCCAGGATTCTGGGATGAAACCAAATGTTCAACTGTCACTTACCTGTAACCTGTATGGGTTCTGTTCGTCCTTGCATCATAAACATTCCATCTAGTGAATTCATCAAGATGTACTCACCATGACCATTAAAGGTGTACGCAAGTCCATCTAGAGTCTGTATGTGAGGATCACCATTCATTCTAGCTGTTGACAAAAAATAACAATTACTGCAAATGACATAATAATGATTTATATATATTAGGAATCAACAACAACAACAACAAAAAAAACAATTACGAATTGATATTTTTTCTATTTGTATTCAATTTTTAAAGTTGAGCAAGAATATGCACCTGGGTGTCAGGAACTATGACCAACATTAATTTCATCCATGTAGCTCTTGTATTTTATTAAAGGTAATCAGTATCCTGATTTCCCATGCATTTCTTCTTGAGACAGTTACTACTATTTATGAGATGGATCAAAAGAACGTCCCTTCTCACCTGGTCTAGGAGGCTGGTATCCAGAGCAGTCTTGTGATGGCCGAGCCGGAATAAAATGGTCTAAACAAGAGTCATGGTCTTTGCAGCACCGTCGGTACGGTAATATGTCGTGCAAGAAATAGGACAAGTAAGGAACCCTACCGATTTCGTCAAATGGTTGCCGGCCAAGGTGGTGGTATCGGTGTGAATATCCAGCATGTTTGTTGTCTGCAATATTTGTGAGGGCTCCATTGGCGTCATAACAGCATTCTAAGCCATGACCTTCAGAACTGAAAATGAGAAGTTTATGGGAAGAAACATAGCAGATGGATCAATCCATACACCTACCATTCTAGCTCTAACGAGCCAATCTCCTGGAATACACTACATGGGGATCTCGTAGTAGTAAATTATAATGCACATTTTAATACAAAAATCGCATCGCCATATGACCAGAATGCGTCGTATAGGCTCAGTCTCAATTATTTGATGTTCCAACGTTCAAAGACTAAAAAGGGGAAACAGTCTAAATATGTTCTATGGGACAGCGGTGTAACACTCTAGCAAGTCATAATTTCCAGGAATTTTAAATCATTAAAGCTGGAACATTAAGTGCAGGCATGCAGACGTCATCCTACCAAAACTAAATTTTCTTTAAAACGTTCACCTGTTTATCCGTAATTGTATACCAGGAACTACAATGCGAAAAGCTTCTATGCTGTTTTTATGTGCTTTCATTATTTTTGGTTCATTTTACCCAGGAAATATTTTTCACATATTTATCTATAATGACATCCTACCAAAACTAAATTTTCTTTAAAACGTTCACCTGTTTATCCGTAATTGTATACCAGGAACTACAATGCGAAAAGCTTCTATGCTGTTTTTATGTGCTTTCATTATTTTTGGTTCATTCTATCCAGGAAATATTTTTCACATATTTATCTATAATGACATCCTACCAAAACTAAATTTTCTTTAAAACGTTCACCTGTTTATCCGTAATTGTATACCAGGAACTACAATGCGAAAAGCTTCTATGCTGTTTTTATGTGCTTTCATTATTTTTGGTTCATTTTACCCAGGAAATGTTTTTCACATATTTATCTATAATGACTGAATAAAACTTAACCTAGAAACATGAAGCCTGAGAGTGATTAAACTGTAGACATACGCTTAGTTCAAAGCAATAAATTATATCCATTGGTGCAAATTTATTTTAAATGGCATTTTTAATTTCTAACCATAGAGATATAATAAGAATACTAGAGCGCTAACAGCAATGTATTCGATGTTCGAAATACGCAGAGCTGTGTGTGTGTACCATCCAAGATGGCTGCCATAGATTCAGCCAATCAAATTTCCCCTGAGCGCTATCATTTTCAATTGCGCCCTCAATTTACACAGAAAGTTCAGTACAGCTAGTTACCATAGAGGTATAATAAGAATACTAGAGCGCTAACCGCAATGTATTCGATGTTCGAAATACGCAGAACTGTGTGTGTGTACCATCCAAGATGGCTGCCATAGATTTAGCCAATCAAATTTCGCTCAGCACCATCGTTTGCAATTGCGCCCTCAATTTACACGGAAAGTTCTTTGCCCTTATGTTTGAAACTCGAGCGTTGCGGTGTTTGGGTGTAATGTACACGATTTAATTTTCATTCCTTGGTACTTTATTTTTGAATAAGATGCTCCACTTGGCCTCGTTTTGGCTACAATAGTTTAA